ACCACCAGTAAACCGATGACTCCAAGAATAGGAATAAGCATGTCATGGAGAAGACCAGTAATGAACACCAGGTTTAGACACAGAGCCCAGCGGACACTATGGGGATTGTGGTATGAGAATCGAAAGTGAACACTGTTAGCCTTTCCTGTATGAAAATGGCATGGCCAGCACAATCAGGAGAGGCAGGAGAAGAAGAGAGGGCTGAGAGTATGATAGCTCGCGTCCTTGGCTAGAACTCAGCAGATATTGTCTAATATTGAAATGCATTGGTTTTATTTTGGTTGGGTTGGGTTGGTTTTTGTTCAGTTTTGTTATTCTTTGGACTTTGGAAACAGGGTCTCTTGTAGCTCCATTGATCTCCAACTCTCTGTACAAGAAGGATGACCTTGAACTCTGGATCCTCTTGCTTCACCCTCCCCAGCGCTGGGGTACAGGCACGGTCCGCAACATCTAGCAGGAAGGTTCATTCTTGTTCAGGAAATAGGCTCTCAAGTTCAAAAGTTACTGCTGCTGCTGCTGTTTCTCTTCCTCCTCCTCCTTCTTCCTCCTCCTCTCTCTGCCTTCTTCCTCCTCCTCCTTCTTCCTCTTCCTCCTCTTTTCCCTTCCTTCTTCCTCTTCCTCCTCCTCTTTCCTCCTCCTCCTCTTCTTGGTGTGTATGGGTTCTTTCTGCATGTATATCTACACCACTTGGGTGCCTGGTATTCTTGGAAACCAGAAGAGGCATCAGATCTCCTGGAACTGGAATTACAAATGGTTGTGAGGCCTCATGTTGGTGCTGGGACTCGAACACAAGTCTTCAGTAAGAACAGCCAGAGCTCTTAACCACTGGGCCATCTGTCTGGGCCCCAGCTTTTGTTTTCCTTGTTTAGTGCCATTTTGCTTTGTTTTGCTTTTATGCTGGTTTCATCGTGTTGCTCAGACTGACTTCAAACTCTGTTCTAAACCCTAATACAACAGGGGGAGAAGACCAAAGACTGTTTTAACGTGATACAAAGGACAGCTAGAACTGTTACTTGCTTCAATACTTTGAGACATCAAGCCATTAATTCATGAGAAAAGCATTCTGTTGTTTAGACTGTGAACCCATCCTAGACCAAGTATCCTGAAGGTAGCCACTCCCTCGGTCAAACCTCTCAGTTCAAAAGAAGGAGCAGAAGCAGGCTTGAATTTCCTGACCTTTGGTCAGGGTGAAGTGGATCTACCTGTCTGGGCCATCTTAATGGCCCAAACACCTACTAACTGCACCCTAGGTCAGGGTGTATAGCCACACTTGTCAACAACTTTGAATAAGCGTAAACTCTCTGACCTTCAGACAAGTTGGAAATAGGCTCACATTTTGGGGTCTTCATACAAAACAAACTGGATAGTTATAGCTTGCAGTTTCCCTTGTTACCAAATTCAGAAAGAAAAAAACTTACATAAGAGATGTAAAGTTTATAAGGTTGAAAAACTTAAGAGCTTAAGTTGTTTATCTAAAAAGATGTTTTAAGGTCTAAAAAGATATTTTAGGATGGTAATACATACTTATGATAGAAAGTAGTTTAGGTATAAAACTTTGGACTCACTAAGATAATATAGTACTTTCTCCAAATTTGCCAAAATACATATGGGCTAAACATTGTGAAAGTAATTCTTACCTAATAATTGTCCTTACTGTATTAAAATTAAACCTTTCTTTTTCAGTTAGACAATAGGGGAAACTTCGTGGGATATTTGCACACTGTGTGAAGATGTGTTGCTATGATTGCTGTAATAAAAAGCAGAACATCCAGTAACTAGGTAAGAAGTATAGGCAGGACTTCCAGGCAGAGAGAAAACTCTGGAAAGAAGAAAGATGGAGTCACCAGTCAGACACAGAGGAAGTAGGACATGCAGGAGGAGAGGTTACAGCCATGAGCCATGTAGCAGAAAGTAGATTAAAATAAATGTGTTAATTTAAGTTATAGTTGGAAACAAGCATAAGCTATATGACTTAGGCTTCCTAATTAATAATAAGTCTCTGTGTCATACTTTTCAGGCTAGTGGTTCTGATGAAAAAGTACTACTACAGTGTCCTGTGGTTACTTTGGGACATGGTAATAAAAATGGACTTCCTGGGCAAACCCATAATAGAGAAGGGAAACTCCTTCCTCACTTTTGCTCTTTTCTATCTGCCTGGAATGCAGATATGACAGCAGTATCTTGGGAAACCACCTGGAGCCTCAGGAATCCTCTCACCTCCACATACACATTATGGCACACCCCCATCAGTAGACGTAAAAAACACCAGTGCCCAAAAAGAACATTTTAGCTTCTTCTCTTTTAGATGTGGCTCACCATAATCTTGACCGTTTCAGTACTCAGAAGGCGTATTAGCTACTTTTCTGTTGCAGCGATAAACCATGACCAAGGCACCCTAAAGGAGAAAGGGTTTATTTGGTCTTATGGTTCCAGAGAGTTGGAGTCCATGATGGTGGCAAGGACGTGTTTCAGGAGCAGCAGCTGAGGGTTCACATCTTTAAGCACAAGCAGAAAGAACTCCGCCAGGCTCTAGTCTTTTAGCTCTGGAAGCCCACCTCCGGCTACACACATCCTCCAACAAGGCCACACCTCCTAAGCCTCCCGCTCTCCCAAAGAGCATCTCAACCAAGGACCAAGTGTTCAAAGGCTAAGGTCAGGGGGAAAGTTCTCATTTGAACCATCGCAATTGTCTTTGCTGTTGTGGGGTAACTCCTAAATCCTGAGACTTCTAGCTTAGCTGGAGGCAGGTCAGAAGGGCAGAAAATGAAGGAGATGAGAGAAGGAAATGAGAGGGACAGAAAAGGCCCTTCACCCAAGGACCTGGTTAGCTTTTTCTTCTGACGGGATCAGGAAACTTGACACACCACTGAAATAGCCAGCTGCCCACAGATGCAGGAGCATTCTAAAAGAACTGGGGCCCATGAGATGGCTCTACAAGGAAAGGCGTTTGCTGTCAGATCTAATGATTGAGTTGTTCCTGGGCCCCACAGGTGGAGAGATCCGAGACAATAAATACACTGGGTTTGAGAATGATCCCTGACCACTAAGTCGGGTAATACCCCTGTAAACTCACCTTACCACTTTGTTTACAAAAGCGGGTTCCATAATCTTTAATTACACCTCTGAGCATGGAACCCAGAAACCACAGGACGATAGTCCAAGTCACTGTAAGAACTACGGGCGAGCTGTCCTCTGGGGAACCCATGCCCATACTCGGGTATGTCTTCCCTTTTCTGAGTCTCTTTCTATTAATGTCACACTTAAAATATACATTGTTATCTCTTAATAAATTCCAATTCTACTTTAAACGGGCTTGTTCTGAAATTCTTTTCAACAACCAAGTCAAAAAGCCTGCTCTTACCTGAGTGGAGTCTCTCCCTAAAGGGGAGACCTCCCTGGGGCTATGCTGGCAGCAGTGTGGCGCTGTATCTCTGCCCGTCACGGGGGACAGTCTTACTCTCCGATGACCTTGGAAGAGTATCAGCAGTTTATGACAGCACTTTACCACAGGTCCCCTGAAACACTCACTTCTATGTCCTTTTCACTTTGGTCTGGTTTTATATTCTAATTACTATTATCTTTATCTTATTGGGTGTATAAAGTTCATTTAAATTTATCTATGGGGAATGTAGAATGTAAATTAAAAATAAAAAACAGTTTGCAACCCAAGTATGGTGGCACACCTCTGTGACTCCAGCACTTGGGAGACCAAAGCAGGAGGTTCTCACATTTAAGATCAGCCTGGCTACAGTAGGGAGATCTAGTGACAGCCCTCACCCTGATTAAGTCAATTTGCAATGGAAAGCGTAGACCATTATAACTGTGAATCCAAGCGGGTCTGGGTATGTAGCTCATTGGGAGAGAGCCTGTCTAGTGTGCACATAGTCCTAGGCTCAGTTGGAGGGAAATATCAAACAGGAAAACGGCATCATTAATATTTCCTGGGACTGGAGATGTATCTCGGTTAGTGGAGTGCTTTCCTAGTGTGCATGAGGTCCTAGGTTTGATACCTAGTATCGAATAAAGCCAGGGGTGGTATATGGGCCACAAGAAAACAAAGGGGAGGGGGGTCAGATGGTGGTGGCGCAGGCCTTTAATGCCAGCACTGGGAAGCAGAGGCAGGCAGATCTCTGTGAGTTTGAGGCCAACCTGGTCTACAAGAGCTAGTTCCAGAGAAGCCCTGTCTCAGAAAAAAAAAAAAAAGCAAATAAGAAAGGAAGGGAAAGGGGAATAAAGAAAAAATAAAATCATAAATTGAAACTTGACAAGGCATGGAATACATCTAAAGAGTAGAAATTCAGGGCCCGTCCCTCAGGGACTGCCTAGACAGGTACCTCAGTTTGGAAGTTTTTCAAAATCTTCCTGATGACATAATCCAGGCCATGATACAACCCGCACCCACACATTCAAAGGAAACCCGGTTTGGGTAACTGGGTGTGATGGATACTGGAAGGAGGGTGGGGTCAGGGCCGGGGAGAAGAAAGAGGATGAGTAACAACCTGAGGTGATAAGGAATCACAAGGAGTATTCAGAAACCCACGGAACTAACATTCTTTCTGCTTCATCCACCAGAGGACAACTCTGGGGTGCTCAACTGAAAAGGAGGGATACACTGGGAAGGCGGGGCTTGACGGTGTAGCTCAACAGGTAGAGGAGCTTGCTTAGAATGCACAAAACCAAAGCTGTGGGTTTAATCCCCAGTACCCCGTAAACTGGGAATGATGGCGCTCAAGGTCTAGCCTGGGGTACATGAGACCCTATTGTCCTTGGTATCTGCGGGGCAGTTTGCTTCCATTTTTGCTGGATTTTCATTTGTCCGGTGTTTGGGAGGGCTGTGCGTGTACCGCAGCAGACCTGTGGAGGTTGGTTCTCCTTTCGTACCAGGGGCTGAGCTCAGGTCATCACGCTAGGCAGCAAGCACCTTTACCACTGAGCCACCTTACCAGTCTCTGTGGAAAGTGGGTGGTATACACTGACTCTGGTTTTGTTCTGTTTTTCAGTGCTGGGAATCGATTTCACGGCTTTGCACACGCTGAGCAAGATCTCTACTCTTGAGTCCCAGCCGCTGGCTCTTAACTGAAAGTGAGGACCACCGTTCTCAGACGTCCCCGCACCTTCCAGCCATCCCAATGGATTGCCTTCCTTTTCCTCGTCTCGAGGATTGTGTGTCATTTGTCTGGTTTCTATGTGCTTGCTGCTAATTCAGCCCTGCCCCTCCAGCTCCCCAGGTAGTGTAAATCTCTCGATAAGCTCAAATACAGCAGGCATCCCATCAACTGCTGCGATTTGAAGGAATCTCTCCCAGAGCCTTTGACCCACTCCCGTCTCTGCGGTTGCTTTCTTGGCCTTGGGATCTTATTTGGCCACCTTCTGGGGACTGTCTACCGGCATAGTTAAGAGAGGGACACTCACTGGACTCTCCGTTTGTACACGTAGGGCACATGAGCTGGGCGCTTCACTGGAGAGTCCTTGGGAAGCCTCTGGTATTAACAGCTGTAGGAACTTTTCTCCCTCCTGGCTTGTCCAAATTTCCTGGAAAAGCTTCCCCTAGTTTCCTGTCGAGAGGGAATGAGTCTGAATGCTACCCTCGCTGAGTAGAGGAAGAGAGCTATGACCTCAGCATCTTTATGTGGGGTGTGAGGTCAACGATCTACTTAAACTTCCAGCTTCCACGAAGGTCCCAGGGCACCGATCTGTGAGGCATGTTCCCCGCCCAGAAACCCTGTTCATTCTGTAAAATTTCCCTGAAGAAGCCTAGTCCCTTTTTCTGAGTGGAAAAGGGACAACTTGTCCACTCCCGAAGGACAGCGAGGAACCGGGTGGTGATGTTTTAGCCGCTTCTAACAGACTTTAACTCGGCCTTCCTCCCTTTAGGTGAAGCTCTAACCATGAGTCAGCCGTTCCCTGGCACCTCTGGATCCCAGGCCTCTCAGGGGTCCTTGGTGCAAATGAGTTGCTTCTCGATTTTCTCACAGCAGACAGGATTTGGTCTTCTCATGTCTTCTAATTCAGTTGCCACTGACAGAGGACTTGCATCAGTGTTGGAACTGAACCCAGGTCTGGTGCTGCTAAACATAGGATCTGCCCCTGAGGGACACCCAGACAGTCACCAGTGTTTTTTCAGTTATGTCTCCTCCAAGGTTGTCATTGTTCTAGGTTGTTTACATTTTTCAATTTCCTCTGCTTTTCATTATAGTGAACTTCAGAAGGGAAATGTTTATTTCTGCTGTGGGTTTTGTTACTGAGGTTTACATTTTGTGTAGAGAAATACTTTTGAGTCTGGGATATAGTTCAATTGGTAGAGTACTTATCTAGCATGAAGCCTTGGGGTTTGATCCCCAGAAACACATATGCCAGAGATGGTGACATATGTCTGTAATCTCAGCACTTGGGAGGTGAAGGAAGGAGGGTCATAAGTTCAAGACCACCCCCTACATAGAGCATTTGAGGCCAGCATAGGCTACATGACTTTCTATCTCAAGAGGAAAGAATGAAGGGGGGGGGATGGCTAGAGAGATGGTCCAGGGGTTAAGAATACTTGGTTTGGGCTGGTGGTGGTGGTGCATGCCTTTAATCCCAGCACTTGGGAGGCAGAGGCAGGTGGATTGCTGTGAGTTTGAGGCCAGCCTAGGCTACAGAGCGAGTTCCATGACAGGCTCCAAAGCTATACAGAGAAACCCTGTCTTGAAAAATAATTAAAAAAAAAAAAAACACCTGATCTGTTATTTTTCTAGAGGCCTCAGGTTGGATTCCCAGCACTCATATGGTGGCTCACAAGTGTCTATAACCCCAGTTCCAGAAGATCCAACACCTTCGTCTGGCTTCTGCCAGCACCAGGCTTGAAAGTGGAATGCAAACATACATAGAGAGTACATAAAAGTATTTTTTAAATAATTTATTTAACTTTATGTGCATTGCTGTGAAGGTATCAGATCCCCTGGAACTGAAGTTACAGACAGTTGTGAGCTACCATGTGGGTGCTAGAAATTGAACCCAGGTCCTCTGGAAGAACAGTCAGTGCTCTTAACCACTGAGCCATCTCTCCAGCCCCACATAAAAAGTACTTTTAAATATTTAGAAATATGAAGAATATAAATTTTTAAAATGTTATTTATTTATTTTATGTGTGCACGTCATTTGCATGGAGGTGCCGTTGGAGACCAGAAGGTTTCAGATTCCCTGAGCAAGGAGACGCAGGCAGTTGTGAGCATGAGCTGTGGGTTCTGGGACTGAATCTGTGTCCTCTGAGAGCAGCAACTCAAGAGTCTTAACCACTGAACAAGCTCTCCAGCCTGAAGAATGTGTCTTAAATTTCTTTTTCACTACAAAGAATTATAAATAAAGAACCCAAGATATATGTGAAAAGGTCCAGAAAAGGTGCCCCCTGCATGGGAGAGCTAGAATGGATGCCATTTGGGACCTGAGAAAGACGAGTCTGTTTGAGAGTCTAGTCTAGGTGACTCCTGGGAACTTCTAGCTGCTTGACAGATGAAGGTTGCACCCGAATGTCCAGATTTCTTGGTTCAGCTCTTTTCTGTCTCCACAGGCTCAGCAATCACATCTATTGGAACATCCCCAAACCCTCTAGACGTGCCTGACTTCCTGGTGATCCTCAGTTCACTTCCGGAGGGAGAGTTTTACTCTGCTCACTAACGAGAGTGGGTTCCAAAGCTCCATGATCCAGGCTGACCTCCTCCATCTTCTGCCTCTGAGGTTTGAAATTAGGGGCCATTTTAAATTCTTATCTCTCCATTGGCACAGGGACTCGGTTAGTCACCGTGACTTAGTCATGTAAACCTGACACATAGGTCAGGTAGAACAGAGCCCCACCTGGGACTGGCATTAGGACAGAAGTCGGATATGGACATCAAACATAGTCTATGGTGGCTGTTTAGATGGCTCAGTGGGTAAAGGGATTTCCTATAAGCCTGGAAACCTGAGTTCCATCCTGAGAACCCACGAAAAGGTAGAAAGAGGGGCTGGAGAGATGATGGGTCAGTGGTTAAGAGCACTAGATACTATTGCAGAGGACCTGGGTTCGATTTCCAGCACCCATATGGCAGATCACATCCATCTGAAACTCCATCCGGAGGGGTTCTGATGTTCTCTTCTTTATTTTAATAAAATAAATACATATTTTTTAAAATGAAAAGTTTTTAAGTGCTCTTTGAAGTCAGACATCATGGTGCCTCTTATCTTTAACCCTAGCACTCAAGAAGCAGAGGCAGGTGGATCTCTTTGAGTATGAGGCCAGTCTGATCTGTATAGCCAGTTCCAGGTCAGCCTGGGCAACAAAGTAAAACACTATCTCAGAAAAAAAGTCTATGAAAATCTTGCTGATTATATATTTGGTAGTTAGCTAATATCTAGAATATAAAAAAAGAACTCAAGAAAATAAATGCACACATAAAATCAACCCAATCAACAAATAGTCTAATGAAATGAGCAGACAATTGTTAAAAGATGGAGTATAAGGGTCAGTGTTACCCACCTAGCCACACTACAGCTTCCCTGCCAAGGTTTTTTGCTTTGTTTTGTTCTTTGGTTTTCTGTCTTTTGTTTTGTTTTGTTGTTTCACTTTTAAATTTTGTTTTTGGGGAGGGGAGATTGCAAGGCAGAGGGTAGAAGTGAAGTTGTGGGGGGACAGGGAGATGAGAGGGATCAGGATACATGATGTAAAATCCTCAAAGAATCAATAAAAAAGTTTTTTTTGAAAAAAAAAGTACAAATGGTCAATGAATATTTGAAAAAAATGTTCAACTTCAATAGACATCTGAGAAATGTAAATGAAAAGTACATGAATATTTCCTCTCCTTCGTCAGAACAGTGGCGACCAAGAAAATGCTGATTGCTGCCCCGAGGACCCAGATTTGATTCCTAGTACCCACAGCATGGCATTTGATTCCCAACCGCCCGTACCTTCAGATCTAATGCCCTCTCTGATGCCCTCAGGCACCAGACGTGCAAGTAGTGCACTTATATACATGCAAGTTAAATGTCCATACACATAACTACTTTTTAAAAAACTGTCTAGAACAGGAGATGAGAAAGGGAGGATCATGGGTATGGAAGGCAATATGTTCAACATGTGTGCTCATGGATATGCTCATGCATATACTTACATGACAATGGCCTTGTAATCCAGTTAATAAAATAAACCCTGCATACACAAATTAGGGACGTGGTGTGGAGCCCAAGGGATGAACAGGACAGGATGGGGAAGTGCTCATTGTGCCGGAAGTCATTTTTAAGCTTTAATTTTATTTTTAATTTTACTTGTGTGTCTGTGTGTGGTTGTGTGCATGAAAGTGTGGGTGCTCACAGAGATCAGAAGAGAGCATTGGATCCCCTGGAGCTGGAGTCATAGGTAGCTGTGAATTACCTGATGTGGGTGCTGGAATAAATCCTGGGTTCTCTGGGAGAACAGTGTTCTAGTTTGCTATTCTATTGTTGTGATAAATAGTGATCAAAACAGCTTGGGAAAGAAAGGGTTGGTTTGGCTTACAGGTTATAATCCACCATCGAGGGAAACTGAGGCAGGAACTAGAACAGAGACCACGGGACAGCAATGTTTGCTAGCTGACTCAGACACCTTTCTTATATAGCCAAGGTCGAGCAGTAGGCTGGGCTTTACTACCTCAGTTCTCTGAGGATGGTCTTGAACTCCTGATTCTCTGCTTCTGCCTCCCAAATCTGTTTTTCTCTCTGGGTCTTAACATGCCACCACATTTTACCCAGTCACCCAGCTGCTGCCCTGGGGAGGAATCTCTGGTTCCCCTCTTCCTTATGACATCCATATTCTATTGCTTTTGCCCTTTGTTGTCTCTAAATTGAGTCTTTCGTCATGTGCAATTTTCCTCTGTTTCCACCCTTTGGCCAGAGTCTGCCCAGGCTTTCTTTGTTGAGTCCACATTCCTCAATCTTAGCTGTGTTCACAGGTCTCCATCACCATAGCTTCCCATTCACTTCCCTAAATGTTATGGAGCATGTGCACACACACACACACACACACCTTTCTTTAGGACAAAAAAACTGGACTAAAATGACAACATAATAGGCGGTATTCTGCCGGGCGGTGGTGGCGCACGCCTTTAATCCCAGCATTCGGGAGGCAGAGGCAGGCGGATCTCTGTGAGTTCGAGACCAGCCTGGTCTACAGAGCTAGTTCCAGGACAGGCTACAAAGCCACAGAGAAACCCTGTCTCGAAAAACCAAAAAAAAAAAAAAAAAGGTGGTATTCTACTCTCTACTTTAAAAATCTATTTTCCTGTTTTCTTGGCTGAGCATGAATCATGCCGTCATTACACCAAGAGCATGAACTTTATTGTGTTTTTTATAGAATGGATTTGAGCAGTGAGAGGCTGATGAGCAGGGGGCTATTAGAAAACCTCTGTCAAACCGAACCAGTGGGGAGCCAGTGATCTCACAGAGGCCTTGACAGGATGGAGAGACGGAAAGTTCCACAGGGACACGTCACAGTTAAACCAGACCTGGGCTTGGAGTCCCAGACTCATCAGTTACCCTGTGACCTTAGGAAGATCGATTAGCCCTCTGAATCTCTCTATCTGCTACTTCCTTGTCCTAGGAAACTAATTTAGCCTCCTTTATACATTAATACAGCAGCTTTAGTATTTGCTGAACTGTGAGCCAGGAACTAGTCCATATGCTAGTACTTATGGTGGACTCTAGCAGTCAACTATAGAGACGAATTCTCCATCCTCACAAGGCTTTTATATTTTAGAGTGAGTGGCACAGAAGTGTGTGGTGCTTAATATTATTTTGAAAAACGTGTTAATGTGTGCACATTTTTGTATGCACTTGTGTGTAAGGGGGTAAAGGTCAGCACTGGCATCTTCCTCTGTCACTCTTCACCTTAGTATTTTGAGCCAGGGTCTCTCACTAAAGCTGGGACTCATCAGTTTGCCAGGCTGGGTGGCTAACAGGCTCTTCCTCCTGAGCCCACACCTTTTATGTGGGTGCTGGGGACTGAACTCGGGTCTGTTTTGGGACTTGCTATGTGAGTTCAGGTTGGCCATGAACTCACAGAGATCTGCTTGCCTCTACCTCCTGAGTGATGAGATGAAAAGCATGCCCACGAGCTGGGAGGTGGTGTGCACACACCTTTAGTCCCAGCTCTTGGGAGGCAGAGGCAGGTGATCTTTGAGTTTGATGCCAGTCTGATCTACAAAATGAGTTTCAGGACAGCCAGGGCTATACAGAGAAACCCTGTCTTGAAAAAAACAAAAACAAAACAAAACAAAATCCCACTATACTTATCTATTTATTTTTAACAAAAGCACAATTATACATACTCATAGAATACAATGTGATCTTTCAACACATGCATGTAATGTATAATGACCAAATCAGGATAGTTACACGCTCATTACCCCAAATGTTTATCACTTCTTGTGTCACTAACATTCAAAATCCTTCCTTCTAGATGTTTTGAAATACACAATAAGTTGTTGGCTACAATCACCTAACTGTGCTTAGGGTACACATGTGGTGACTGAGCGCTGTGAAAAACATGCATAGAGGAAAAACCTAGGGTCTGGCATGTTGGAAAACCTGATGTCTAAATTACAGTGGTCCATGGAGGCCTCACTGAGATGGGAATGTCTACGTGGAGACCAGAAGGAAATAAAAAGCATGCTTTGCTAAGAGTAGGGGCAGAACATTCCAGGACAAGAGGGCAACAGAGGTTAAAAAATGGCAAAAAGGTCAGGGTAGCAGAAGACAAGTTAGGGAAGAACAGAAGAGACCTGGCCATGGAGGTGACAGCGGGCCGGGTCACTCACATAAGGTCTGGAGGATGTGACCAGGACAAGTGATAAGAAGAGAATGGTTGGGTACATTTTGGAGGTGGAGCTCAAAGGGTTCACTAGTATACTAAGTGCAGATTGTGAGGAAAAGGAATCCTTCAAGGGGCTGGGAATGTAGCTATGTAGGTAGACTGCTTACCTAGCTCATGCAGAGTCCAGGCTTCAGGCCTCTGCAGCTTACAAAACTGGTCGCTCGAGGGTCCACACGTGAATGCCCAGCACTTGGGAAGTGGAGCGAGGGATCAAAAGTTCAAGGCCATGCTCAGATATGAAGAAAGTTTGAGGCCAGCTTGTTACAAGAGACTCTGTTTTGAAAGAGAGAGACTAAGGGTGGAGGCTACATCCAGCCTACGTGAACTTTCATGGTGTTAGCCCTGTTACCGATGGGCTGGATGTCGGCTGCAGAAGCATGAATCCCTTAGTAGTTGCTACCGAGGAACGTATCATCACAGTGAAGTGAAAGACGGCCATTTTAATGGCCGGTGGTTAAACAAAGCAATCTCACCTAGTTCTATGCAGCCAATCATCCCTCTCTCCCAGGCAGCTTTCCCATGACGTCACATAGGAAATCAGGAGGCAAAACGGCAGCGGGACAAGGCGTTGAACAGAGCCAGTCAGGAAACCATGGGTGGAGTTCCAGGTGAGAAAATGGGGCCTCGGATTCCACAACAAAGCATTAATCTCTAGGGCAGTGGTTTTCAACCTTCCGCATGCTGTGACCCTTAATACAGTTCCTCATGTTGTGGTGACCCCAGCCATAAAATTGTTTTGCTGGTACTTCAAAATGGCAATTTCCCTACTGTTACAAGTCATCGTGTATGTATCTGGTGTGCAGGGTATCTGACACGTGACTCCTGTGAAAGGGTCGATCAACTCCCACAGGGGTCTCAACTCACAGGCTGAGCACTGCTGCTGTAAGGGGCCCGTGTGCCCAGCGAGATGGTAACTCATGGGAGGGGGGCTCTGGAGAGAAGGAGGAAGTATGAAGGGAAACAGTTTAGCGTTGCAACTCCTTTGAAGTTTCCGGTGGTAGCAAGGAAACTCAAGTGGAACTCAGTTCTGTGGGTGTGACCTGTGACCCCTTGGGTTCACCAGTTCCTCACGCCTCTCCACTCTCAAGATTCCCTCTCTGATTCCAGCCCCTCTGACTTCCTGTTCTCCCTTCTTGGTCAGCACCCTCT